TCTTTGACGGAGAGGATTTTGACTTTTGACTTTTGACAAGTTTAGACCGGTAGAAAAATCCGCCATCTACATTTCAAGTTTACATGATGGCCGGAGCAATTTTGCAGAGATGAAACTACACATCCCGTTCTTCAAATTTAATTCATCCAGCTTTCCAATTCAACAAAAAAGATCGCTTAAATCCGACTATGGAGTCTTGATAATCCCACATTTAGCCCCAAGTTCTATTTTACTGTTCTCAACTGTATTTCAACTGAAAACCATGCTCCCTCCCCGCTCCTCCTGCAAATGCACGCTCCTCAAGCCTTCGCTGAGTGAACTGGTTCATACTCGTAAGCTCCCTGTTGAACAATGTCGGATGACTGTCGGCAAAAAAAAAAAAAACATTTCGGCCAACAGATTAATCCAAAGGAAAGTTCGAAATTGCATAATTTTAAGCAAAACTCACAAGAAAAGCGGAGTAAGCGCATCGACGAGCCGTCGGGATGATCTGGCCGCCACCGCGATACAGTGGCTCACCAGCAATTACAGCATCCAACATTTTAAATTTCACATTGCGTATTGCTGAAATTTAATAAATAACTTGATTCTGAAGAAAAACTCGAAATTCCAAGAAAAAAAATCGATTAATTCGTGCAAAAGAATCCTCTGTTATTCCAAAACGATACTAAAATTTGAAAAGTAAAAAATGCTCAAAAATTTACGACGAATCGATAAAGGTCCCAACATACTTTTTTGTTTCGTACTTTTCGGCATTTTATGTCTAATCAACTACTATTTTTGATGAAGAACCAGTCGCACAAACAGATTTTTGTGTATATATCCAAAAGGGGCAAAACGGGGGACAAGCATTCGGCAAAAATATTCTCGCGCATTTGCAAATTATCCTCAGTCCCCAAAATGGGCTCTTCTGAGCCGCGTAGTACCCAAGTACAGGCCCGCCAAAGTTTTTGGCAGGAAAGCTGTTAAACTGGAAACCAGAAAAGCTAGAAAGCTGAAATCTTAACGAACTTGTGTACTACGCGGCTAAGGCAGCCCATTAAAAATTCAAAAATAAAAACCACTAACGTTCTTCACAGAGCGGTCCTTCACGAGTGGCCCACTGGAAACCCTGAACGAGAGATTCTCGAACAGTTCCCAGTAATTGCTTGTCAACCTCCGATGGTAGCGTATCATCAAGAAGCACATTTGGACCAGCCGCATCCGGGCCAAATGCCCAAATACTTCGAGCGGCTAGCAAATCCCATTCGTATTTGGTCTGAAAGAATTCACCAAGCCGTTTTCGATTCCAGCCAATTTGTACAACCTCATTTTCGAGATCTTCGGCCAAACCTTTCTCCAACGGTTCAGCTATCATTGTCAGTTTGTTCCTGAAAATAACAAAAACATCCAAGCCTCCTGTAAACCTAATTTCACTTCCTGATACATCCTATTAATAATTCCTAGCATCAAATGTTGAAATTCCGCAGCATGCAGAACTCAAAACCCCCTTCGTTTTCCAAGAAGCACAGGGCAGGGGGCCTGTAAGGGAACATATGTAGATAGAGAGGAAAAATTTCTAACTTTTTATTCCTAATTTAAAGTGCTAAAATGGGAATGTATGCGACTTAATAAACCGAAACATTCTAATTCAGCTTTCACTTTTTACGTTTACTTTTTAATTTGTTACAACTTTTTTCATAACCAAAATATATTTAAATTAAAAACAAAAAAAAAAACATTTTCATGGCTCGTTAGACATTCCGATTCAGCTGATATCTTAAAAACAGATTAAAGATCAAGTGTTTGCCTGTTTCAGAAATAATCAGACAAAAATGATGCCAACTTTTTATTTGGAGTTTCCGCGAAACATTTCAACGATGATGTTTCGACAACTGTTTCGCAAAATGATACAACAGGATCAGCCACTTTGATGTCGATTTCCGAAAATACCTGAAAGCCAAACAGGAATCGTAAAAAGTACCCATTGCTTGTGGTAGCACTATAATTTTTATGCATACGTCCCTAAACGTAAAGATTCAAAAGCTTCAATTACAAAACAAAGAGTGACAAAAATAACGATTATAATAACGATAAAAATGACGACAACAACGATTATACCGCCAAAAATAACGATTATTCCGCTAAAAATCAAAGGACCATCCGGAGATTCTCATGATAAAAGGTTCGCTCCCTTCCGAATCACAACTTTGCAAAAAGGGCTCCGTTCACGAAAGCTACGACATCACCAGTGGCATGTTTATTTCATCAAAACGAAGTGCTCAAACACGAGAATGCAAACCTTTCGCATGTCATGCATTACACAGTCCATGTACAGTTCTCCAGTCCCAAGCATCACATGTTCACCGGACTCTTCAACACGTGTTGTCAGTAACGGATATGACTTATTCACCTGACAAAAAACAGGTATGTTTAATTCTTGTTACAGAAAAAATTTTTTTGAGAAAAAGTTTGAAAAAGCTAAAAAAAAGAACCTTTTTTTGAAAAAGTCAAAGACTTACTCACTAGCTAACAAAATTTGAAAAGTATTAAGGCATATTTGTTCAGTATTAAATGTCAAGTTACCTGTTAGTTAGAAACGATATTCGATGAACATATATTAATTAACGGTAAGATACATTTTTTTTTTCAAGAGCAAAATAATAAAAAACAGGATCCCCTGGATTATTGGCTGACATGAAGCAGTTTCGCTATTACAAGTTCATGTGGTATGACGGGAAAAGAAAACCTACTTTTCGAAGGCCGTCCAGCATTTTTGGAAGCTCCGAAGGATTGATCGGTTCCACCGCAAGTTTAACAACTGATTTTGTGTTGAATTTAAGTGGACGAAAGATATATACCTGTAAAGTAAAGAAATTTTAATGCTAAAAGAAATAAAAGCCGTGTAGTTCAGCGTACAAGTGCCTATTATTCATAGTACCGCCACAATCGAATCACTTCCAAATGCCTTTCACGTCTTGAAATGAGTGGCCTTTGGAGATGTTTTGTGACTCAAAACTGTGACAATCCGAAATTGCCACTCGTAATTATCTAAGGCATTCATAAATTCATCATGGCTGTTCCAATAATTAAGCTGGCGACTTGCTCACTGATAAGCATGAAAAGTCAAAACCTGTGTACAAGGATATAAACCCATCATTCAAGGGTAAAAAAACCATCACCATTCAAAAAAATCCACTCAGGAGAGTTGCCGTCTGTTCTTTCTTAGTGAGCTTCTCCAATACTATTTCATAAAAGGAAAAAAGCAGGAAAAATGTGAAAAAAAAATGAGTATCAGAACCGAAGTTGAAACCCCTCTCCTTTTTTCGTCCTCTACAAGAGCAGAGAAACTCAGAAATAGCCAGAGTGGTAGCAACTACTATTAGGTACCTAAGCTATAAATGTTTGCTTCTTTTTTGAGTTGTTTAGAATGAAGTTGATGCGAGACAAACTCTCCGGTATATGCCAGTACCAATATACCATAGTGGGGTCAGATGTCGAAGAGAAAAAGCGCATAATTAAGAGAAAATTCAGTAGAAATTTGACACACATTAGCTTTTCAGGCTAACTTATCAACATTCACCTAACAGCATTATCAGTCCAAAACAAACAGGCTCAATGTTATGCATGTACTTACAAAAAAATAACAGAATTTGACCAGAAAAAAAAAATTACTTACATCTTCGTCATATTCAATTTGCGTTATGGTTGATGTTTTTACCACTGGCTGATCAATTCCCTCAATAAGAACCCAATTTCCTGCTGGTACACGCGATACTTCGATAGAATATCTAAAAAAAACACACACACACACAAAAGTGAAGGCGAAAAGTCGAAAAATAAGAATATCCAAACAAAATTTCTTTTTCGTTTCATTAAGTCACATACATGATTTTTCAGCTCCACAGCTGGGCATCGTTAGTACAGCAGCGGCTGTGGTGTTGTAAAAAGAAAAGCAAACAGGACGAGGGAAAAACTTGTAATAAATAGAAATAACGTGAAAAAAGAGGAGAGGGATGAAAATTGTTCAAAAAATTAGGTTTTTAAAATTTATTATACGATCTAAAAAATCCAAAGCTGGGGAAAATTCTTCTGTAAGCTGACAAAAAGGCAAACATATGGATACAGCACTGTTTGCCCCGCGCCCATTTTTATGCCAAAATAGGGCAAAAAATTTAGGATATATGGAACAACTGTCGAAAATGTAAAATACATACCTCGCGACACTAACCCAAAGCCGGCCCACAGTCATTACGCGACAATCCTCTTCGTCCTGGATGCTATAGTTTTCTCCAAGAATACGAACCTAAACATTAAAAAAATTTCAAAAATCACATCTAATTGAACATACTCGCATCTCACACAAATCCAACCTATCCAAGCATACACAGACATAAATCTATATATTTAGAACTGGAACACACAGACACACCCAAACATGCACACACACACACACACACACACACACACACACACACACACACACACACACAAA